ACAATTATAATATTTGGCTTAAAAAGATTTTATTATAATAGATTTTGAAATATAACGGAAATATATCTCTCTGTACAAGGTTACGATATAATGTGAATGTAAGGTAAAATAAAAAAAGATTCGATTTTTAGCATTTGTAAACTTATATATGCGACGGTGCATCAAGAGGCATGTTAATCGCGCTTTCGGAAATTACAAACGGAGCACGATGCAATCGGCGAGAATTAATGCGCCCACGTCGCTGATATTGCGTCTTGCCAAACTCTGGCAGAAGTTTCCGTGGTAATCGTCTTCGCATTCGCTCTACTGTAGTGGAAAAGCCATTCGGATGTTCGCAGAGTTCCTCGTTGCGGTTTTGGAACCGCGCTCGCGCACAGCTGTGCCATTCTCTCTCTCTCTCTTTCTCTCCCTCTTTCTTCGATCGTCCTTCGTTGTCTCACGACTTGAAACGAATCTATATACACAGTGCGTCATTTTTGTGGCAAGGACGAGAGAGTGAGTCTCTTTTCGTCCTTATTCCATTCACTGGTCCACCACCATCATCATCATGATCGTCATCATCATCATCATCATCATCATCATCATCATCATCATCATCATCATCATCATCATCTGCCACTATACATGTACCATCCACAGAGAGACAAACGACCAAAGGATCTTAAATGCGAGTCGAAGGTAAATAGAATCTGGGATTCCCTACCTGTTATATAACAGATGATTCTTTCCAAAATGGACAAGAAAAGGAGACGTATTGTAATCGAGTTTTCTTGTCAATCTTTGAATTATTTGGAAATAATACGTATATTCAGTATAGAATAAAAATATCCAGCAGTTTTCTCCTGTGTATTAACGCGAGAAAAAAAAATCCAAATTAAGATAAACAAAGATACAGAAAATAATTTCGTATAAATTTAATTTTTATTTTTGTGAAAGATAAATAAAATAAAAATTGGCATTCATAGAAACATCTAGAAATATATTCATCTAGAAATATATTCATCTAGAAATATATTCATCTAGAAATATGTTTATAAATCTTCGATAAACGAACCAATAAGACGTTCCATGAGATATAAAATTTACGATGCAGCAAATATGCGAACGTTCTACTCTACTTCTTTTCAATTAAAATAAAAGTTTTGATTAAACAAAAATTGCGGACGTGTTTATACAATGTAATTTCAAGTATATCAACAGAAAATGGCCTTTACTATTTGAGCAAAATTAAAGAAATATCAATTAGCATATTTACATATTGGTAAACATGATCCGTACAAAAATCAATTTTTGATGCGGCAATGTAATTGACATTGTAATATAAAACAAGTAGGACCATTCAAAGAGAGAATGAGGCTATATCTTAATATAAATATATATAAATATATATTGTGTATAAATACACTATGAAAAATATGTATGTATACGAGTGTGAAAAGTTGTAGATTACATGAGAGTAATAACAGATACATAATAAGATCAAAACAATAAGTATAGGGTTTGTGAAATTTTCGATACCACCAAGTAATTGAAAATAAAAAATAAATATTGTAAATAGATATTTATGTATATCTAATATCTGCATGGTGATATTCGATGTCTCTTTTCTTGCTGTCGAAGACTCGGATTCTTATATATTCCTTTCAAACTTATATTCCATTGTATCTAGTCATTCTTATCTCGTGTCATAGTCCTAACGTCAAAGTTCCCCAATCGACATCTATCTATCTAATCGATCGTTGATGACACCTGGCCTAGTGGTACAGTTAGAACGAGTGGGAGTAGGTATTAAACATCGCGGCTACAAAAGAGGATCGAGGTTAACGATAAATCTCTCTCTCTCTCTCTCTCTTTGTCTCTCCCTCTCTCTTTTCTCGCGGACCTTTTTCGTAAGCAAAGAGATTCGACGAGAGCGAATTATCGATCCGAATGACATCTGGGGAAAATGTGCTCGTGATAATATTCTTCTAACTTGTGAGCCTTAAAATTACGTTAAGATTCGAGAAGAAGGAGGAAAGATAGGAAAAGAATCTATTATACTTAATCAGATTATTTATTTTATTATTTTAATTATTTTTATATTTTAAATATTTATTTATTTTAATACAATTTATTTTTATACAATATGATGCAATTCGATTTAGAGATATTATCAGCGAAACTTTCAAGACTTTGTTCAATCGTCGACGGCATCAAAATTTAATCCAGGATTTAATGATCGCTTATACAACTACTCGCTTACATAGCTCCGCCGATTCTCCTCATAATTCTCAAAAGTCTCGACGAAATAATATATATCGCGGTATCTCTCTCTCTCTCTCTCTTTTCAATGGACGCATTATTCACAGTCCTCTCTTAATTACATTAGGGCGATACGCTCCCCCGGGGCTGAATAGAGACCGGCGCTGGAATTGTTTCCACAAAATTGCGACACGACACCGTTTCACCGCTGCTAATTCACCGAGGAGATTTATGCTAGCCGCCGCGCTTTAACTCCTTCGACTCCCCCGCATTCCTCTCGGCACCGACCTACTTTTCCCATTATCATAACGTAACTATCGTCGGCCGGTATCGCTGATAAAAATCAGCCCGTACGCGTCTGTCAAAAGATCGTCGAGGGCATCGCGTCTTTTCCCTGGCGTTTCATAAAGGAACACTGCAATCCGCACGGATCTCACAATGCGCGCGCTGATCTTACAATTAAGCCAGTCCTAATTTTTTGTGTGCAAAGTATCCTTCGAGTACTTGTATCTTTATTCGCGCTTCAAAAAATAAAAATAAATCTGATAACAACAAAGTTTCAATTCGAGCTTCTCTAATCGCATATGAAAAAAGCTCACATTATTTCAATGATTTCCATCTGTAACGCTATAAAAACTCGGGGAAAAAAATGTATTCTATATATGTAAATACATAACAAATCAATTTTCGCACATTCGACTCATCTCACGATTATATATACTCGACTCGCAAACATTTTTTAGAAAGAAGATGTAGGAACCATTTATGCGGCATTCGGTGCGCGATGGAAAAAAAGGATTCTGTATCACAAATATATATAGATGCAAAGCGGATGGAAAAAGCGTATATGCATTGCTGTTCGAAAAGCTTCATGGAGGAGGATCTTTTTCCCCCTCTCCTTCTTGTGCGAATGTGTCTCTGTGTGTATGTATAATGGAGGCTCGAAAAACGAGGCGAAGCGAGGTGAAGAGAGCTGACCTACTGTGGCAAGTGGCTCAGGGCCGTCGTTGTCCAAATCGTCCCCTCGATCGCCCCTCCCCCCCCCATCGGGTATTCTCTCTCCATCCGGCAGTATATTCAAGTCTCTTTCTTTTTTTCTCTTTTTTGAACGTAATATCCTCGTAATATCCTCACTTTGGTCCCCTTCCTTTTCTCTTTCTTCGTCGATCTTTCCTGCTCCTTTCCCTTTACCCTTTTCTATAACTTGCGATCAGGATTTTCGCTAACGTTCCCGATAAGCTAAATGGACCGTAACGCCCGCATAATAATGCCCGGAATCTATCGTGACATCGTTCCGTGTGATGATAACGTACCGATTTTATAGCGATTAGATGAGAATGCCACTGTATAAGCGTGAGGGTGAAAGATAGTTGAGAACGAGACAATATAGAGACGAGTCGCGAGAATATCGAGCTAATGTATGGCGGTTCTCTTCCTGAGAATGCTTTCTAGCCGATTCCAAGTAGAGCCATTGCTCAATGTACGGCATTGCAAATGAGCTTATTATAGCGTTGCTTATTTTCTCGTTTTAACATTCGTTTCTACATTTTATTATTTTGATTGTACGCGCGAAAAAGAGCGCGCGTACAAAAAGTAATAAAATATTACTACTTTGAATGTCTTAAGGTATTAATTTATTCAACACATATCCTCTCTATTTTATTATTATTATAATTTTAGTCAATTTTCTTATTTTTGTTTCTTTTTTTCAAATCGTACAAATTAATTGATTTTTAAATTAACTATAAGGATAATTTTACAAAGAGATATATATACAAGATTGTATACGTTAAATTTTGATTGTATAAGTTAAATTTTGATTATTTCAAATTATTGAATTTTTTGCTGAAGATTGGGCATAATGCGGTTTGCTTTGGTCCACGGCAATGTATCGTTTATTAGCCAGGTCCGATTTAATATCCTCGATTCGTGACCGGCTCTCTTGTGCCTTTTGCGCACGGGTCGACGTAAACGCCCACCCGAGGAGGAAAGTGAATCAGCGGCGGTCGCTGAGTGAAAATCATCTAGTGAAAATGTGAAGGTCGGATAGAGTGGCCATTTGAAAGTTCTGCCATAGCTTCCAGCTATAAACCGATTTTCACTCTGCCATCGTCGTCGTGGATATTCCTCGTAAAACGTACGGCAAAAGGTCGAATTATTATGGTCGAATTATTACAAGATCCTAGGTACCGCTAGATACGTGCACACGCGAGTACAGCTGATGCGTTCACGAAGGTAGCGAATTGTTCCGATTGAAGCGACACATGTTAATTTTTGTACCGATACTGTATTTTTATGCTGGATTAAAAAAAAAGATATACATATACATATATATATATATATATATATATATATATACACACACATATGTATAAAATTTAAATTTTATTATATACTTACTCTCTAAAAGTGAATCGTGTATTATCACTGTAATTAGTGCTGTACTTATAACTGCTTGTAACCAGTGAGTATTTACTGTTTTTTAGTAATAATACATTGATTCCCGCTAGTGAAAGTAGTATATATATTACTTTCACTAGCGGGAATCAGTGTATTATCACTGAAAAACAGTAAATACTCACTGATTACAAGCAGTTATAAGTACAGCACTGATTACAGTGATAATATACTGATTCACTTTTAGAGAGTATATATTTGTGTAAAATTTGCAGTTAAATGCTTCGATTCTACATCATTAATTTTCGAGATACGCAAATAGATTTATGTACTTATATATCTTTTCTGATTTTTGATTTCAGAAGTTGTGTCCATCATTGTTAAGTCGATACGCGGTCATATCAGAGCGAAGCAAATTATGTTGAGTAAGTAGATACACGTATGAAATAAACCTTTCAATAAATATGCTGATTATTTATACCTTTTGCGGTAAAACATATATCCGAATAAGAAGAACTATTACTTAGTCAAATATTTAATAAAATATTACTAATAGTAAACCCATGTACACTCACTAATAATTTATTAACATAAATTTATTAAAAATTAAAATATTGCAAATATTACAGTCAATTTTGATATTAGCGCATAGATGGATTCAAAAGTGTCCTTCTCTTTAATATAGATCCAAATTTCGTTAAAACTAAAATTCTTCTCAATTACAATTAAGATTAAAATAAAAATTGAAACGTTATCAAAGATACTTAAAAGTTGGATCAAATTTTCGCGGAACGTTATTTACGTAAAATTTTAATTTAAGTGAGATATCTCCTCGTCAGCTGGTCTATCGCCTCTTCCGCATAGTTTATCGTAATTCCGCGCGCGAAACCGCGGCGTCATTTCCCGATCGAGATGTTGATTCTTGCGCCGTGAATCTCGGCCGCGAATACTTTACAAGTGTTAAGTATAAGAGAGAGATAAAAAGAGACAATGAAGAAGTAGAAGAAGCGACAATTTTTACCATTGCACGCGCGGATGACAATATTTCATTGTAGATAATCGAGAGAAAAAAAAAGTGACATCATTCATCCTCGCGCTTACGTAAAGATATCGGCGTCGCGTCCATCATTAACGTTGGTGATCCTTACATGATTTCTTACACGCACACATTTAGCGCAAAGTAAGCATTTAATGTTCTCCTAATTTAAAGATTAACGGCTGCAAGAGCAATCCATACTGACAATTGGAGCGAATCGAATGAAATAATACCTGTACATGCATATAAACATTGCATCGAAAGCGTCAATTGAATTACAACAATTTTTCAACATTATGTAATAAAGCTCTTGCGTATTATACTTTACAATATAATTATATTATTAATTTAATTTAATTCACATTGTTGCAGAACTCTTATTTCTTAATCGATTTCAAAGAAACCTCATCAACATTTTTAATTTAAAGCTAACGCATTAATGATGCATTACATCAAATTAAAACTAGAAAAATATGACAAACATTTTCATATAAAATTTTCACGAAACTTTTGCGAAATTTCCGCGGAACCTTTAACCTGGTAGGATATTTAAGATTAGCCATAACCACATGTAAAGGTTTAGAAATTAACAAGCATTACCAATAATCGGATCGATAAAAAAATATATACATATGTATAAACATTGCATCTCGAAAGCGCCGTCCATTGAGATTATAACAATTTTCGAATCTTATACATTATGCTGTTATTTTTGTTACGTGTATTTACAATTACATAATCAAGTGTATTACATAGTCAATTTAATTTATATCGTATTGCTGAGTGAATAGACGTATTTCTTAATCGAAAAAACTTTGTTAAAATATTGAATAATACTAATAATAATACTAATATATACATACGTGTCAAATTAACTTAATTAGGAAAATATGAAAAATATCTTTACGTAAAATTTCCCTACATAAAATTCAATTATGGCGGAATATTTGAGATCGGCCACAGGCATGATCATATTCGCATACGCGCTCGGTCGCGTCAGCATCGCATAGTTCTCATCGTCGGAAAGGTTAACTGTTTGATTAGATTAGCGTGGCGTGCAAATAACGGCGGCAGACCGGCCTCGGTTTATATGACCATGTCGGATTGTTAAGTGGGCTTTATCGAAAACCTCCGGAAAGGACGACGGGAAAGAAAGTCGCTTCGCCGCTTCCGGGATCGTAGAGAGGAGGACAATGGGCGAGGGCGAGCACGTAGCTGTAGCATAACTATCATCCAAATGGTTATTTTCGACGATGAGGTCGACTAGGACGCGGTAAAACGAGCATTCGAGGACGTCCTTTCTGTGCGTGTTGTGTGTGTGTGTGTGTGTGTGTGTGTGTGTGTGTGTGTGTGTGTGTGTGCGTGTGCGTACACGTGGTGTTTGTACGTACGTGTGTGTGACGACGCGTGTGTTTCTCTTGCCTCTCGCCGTTCCATTCATTCTATACACATGGCCAAGCCCACACGGAGATGTAACTTTGATGCGACCTCCGGCGTTTCCTGCCTCTTCGATCGATAATCAATCTCCGATGATCGATGTAATAAATGAGAAAATGAGAAGAGCATGAATTACGAGACGCGATCTCTTTCTTCGAAGGATTTGTAAAATATGTTTCTGGTACTAGTTCAGTATATCTGAATTAAAGATAAGCACATTTAGGATGCAAAATATTACAAATTAAAGACTTGTATTGAAAAAAATCAAAGCGTTTCAATTTCGAATCGATTTAAAACATTTGCGTTGAAAATGAAGAAAATCAAAAGTTGTAAAAAGAAATCTCTCGAGGTTTAAATATAAAGATATATTTTTGTTAAATAAATATATAAAAAAATATTATTTATATATATATTACGTTATATTTCTCGAACTTTCCCACATTTTCAATTTATCGAAGCCGAGCGATCTCTCTATTCTCGACTTTCCCCTCAGTCCTCGCTTTCGAAACTTTCGCGGTGTCTTTTATCTTTGCATCGTTCATCGCGGTTAATTTGTCAAGAGGTAATTTAGGCTCGATCGTATCTCAGATTTGAGGCTCTCTATTTGCGCAACGATATTATTTGATAACTTTATTTCAAGCAGATTTCAGATTTACAGATATCCGATAATTTCCGTCTTCATCTCTGTAACTTGGCACCTCCGTGAAAAATTAAATTTAAATGTGTGTGTGTGTGGGGCATAATTATATTATATTAATATCTGAATCTGATTTCTGGCTGTAAGGATGCCGAATCAACGAAGGTCTTTTTGTCAAACGGTGAGAAATGAGAAATACATACCACGTGTCGTTCTGCATCACTTTTAGATTATAGAATGACCTTAACCCCACTATCGATAATCGATGGCATCGATCGTGGGCTCCGCTGCTCCATGAAGGCATCTACAGACTTATCCGGGGCTATCGAAGGCCATGGTCGACTAATTTACACCTGGAAAATTCTCATATAATATACATAAAATTCTCGTCGGAAAATGTTCTCCTTTCATTTATTTTTGTTTTCTACGAGTTTTATTGTTTTTGAGTAATCGGATTAAAAATATTACGCGACAATATTTGTTACTTGTCTACATCTCCCTTATTCGGAGATATTTCAAGTTAATAAAGATATAAAATATGAATGTATAAAAAATATTTCGAGGAAAAGAACATTCCGATAATATTCAAACGTCGAATGACAAAATGATACTCTCTCGAGATTCGAGACTCTCCGAAAGAGTTTACGATTTGCACGATCTCGCTATGAGAATGTGCTCCAACTTTATCGTTCTAAATGTGGCTTCTCTTTATTCTCGAGACGACTTGGAGATTGATAATCTCTTCTCGTCACTTTGGCTTTGCGCAAGAATTAGCTATCGGAAAAACCCGCGAAAATCGTATCGCGCCTCAAATATAAACGATGAAAATCTTGGTAATTAAATTATGTAATATTGACCTTCGATTCGATCGCAAACTAGTTCGATGCGATTTCAGTTTGTTGTCGTAATAATCAATCATCTCGTATATTTTATAGTCGAGCGAATCCGAACTCGTGCTCGAGAGGTAATTAAGTTAACGAGCCGATCCAGGGAGCACCGTTAATTAATTTGTCATGCCGGGCTTCTCGGCGAATTCCGAGTAAGGCTATTAAGCGCGTTCATTTCCGTTCATCTCGCGACAGAACGCGAATAATAAGCGCATTTAATCCGTTTAATCGCCTCATTCTTTTTTCTCTTAACAGTATACACTTTGCGTCGTTTTTTTATTCCTCATTTTTGTCGAGGTAAACAATTCAGTCGATCTAATTAGTCTTCACGAATTAAAAAATGTGACAGGTTTTTTACAAGTCCTGTTTATCGTAGAAAAAAAGATGATGAAGGCGATTTAATTGCTGAAAATTACATAGACATGGTGAAAATCATCAAGATTTTTTTCTTTCACTTTAAAAAAAAGAATCTTTGCTGCAAAACTCGAAATAATGATGAAAATTGTGATGTAATTTGACAGGCATCAATCTTTAGTAAATATTGCGTATATATTTTTACTTTAAGCTTTCAATTTGGGATTAAAGTTAAAAAATGCAAGTGTCGTAGAAAGTATGTTTGGCCTTTTCCGCTTATAATTACAAATTGATTACAAATGAATATAATTTGTTATTACAAAAAATTACTGTGTTTACACGCGCGCGCACACACACACACACACACACACGCATACATTTCTTTGTTCCAATATAATCCAAGTTAATGTAAAAAAAGCGATTACATCGATCGGTGTCGCGCGCGATCTTTCTCTCTCTCTCTTTTTCTTTCTCTTAGCGGAGATCGCCTAACGCGCGCGATGCCTTGGCCCACAAGAGAGAAGCCGACCTCATTTTTATTACAATTCAAACGCGCCCTCCCACCTGTCCTCCCAGAAGAAATGTCAGCGATTGTCGATAGAATCGGGCACATGGAGAAATCTCTTTCGTCAATATGAATAATATATCCGCGGACAGAGTTTATCTCTTCATCGGGAATCCGAATTCCTTTGTGAGCGATCCAATTGTATTTCGAGGTTAACTTTACAATTTCGTACCATGCATTTTTTTTTTACAAAGTGCTTTACGCGAGAATAAAAGGCGAAAAATGACATTTTCAGATCGTTGACTCGCGTATCTATATACGTATGTCGGAGAGAGTGCTATACTCGTGGCACGTGTCAGCTATACAATGAAGAAAGTGGGAAACGATAGCTATCGTTTAAGTCAATTATATTAAGGGAAAGTTGAGATTAGATCGGGGTATAAAGAACACGGTAAGATATATATCCGCCAAGTCTCGATGTTTCCGTATCCGGTAAAACTATAGCGAAATCATATCTCGAGCGCGCGAAACTATGCAACTTTTAATATCGCGATATGCACAATTCGAGC